ACCTCTTCAGGGCATAACGAACTCAGCCGGCCAGCGGATTGGCCAGAGGTGTGGGGATTGGGGGATTGGTTCCTGGGCAAGCGCAACGGCCATCCCTGTAGCGCCCCTGTTGGTCTGTTTCTAGTCGAGGTGGGTGCCTGTCCGAGGCAATAAGCATGATGAGACTGCGCTGATACTCTAGAGCCTGCCGCCATTCATGCCCTTCAATGTTCCAATCCTCTTTGCTGCCGCTGCCCGCAGGGAATGCACCACAGCACGGGGAGGGGAGCCTTGTGTGTGGGAGCGGAGCAGGCACTGAGCCGGCCGTGTCTCTGAATGAGTCCCTGATTGGCACCAAGACAACCCTTCATTACAACGGCCACGGCCCACTTGGCCTTCAATCTTGACTATTTGCTTATAATTAAGCAGCTGGCCAGCCTTGCGAATCATAGCCCGGGCCCTTAGCAAACCAAGATGCGGTAGCCCACCACAGCAATTTGGGCACCGAGGAAATAACGAGTCGCATCACGGGACCAGGCTGGATCCTGCACTTGTTTCCGGTGGCCCTCAGAGCAGAGAAGCAATTTGAAGCCTGTGAGGAAGCTCGTATCTCTCTGCTGTCAATGCCGCCGCCAAGACCGTTCCACTGTCTTTTGGAATTGACGGGGCTGCCGTGGGACGACCCATGCATAATCCATCTAACGCAGGCACATCGCAATTATTCTTGCTGACTTCCTGTTTGGCACCGGAGCGGCTCCCACTGCGGGAACAATGCCATTGCCCAGTGCCGCATCGACCAGATCAGACAGAGGGCCATCACCTTGGTACACCGAAATGAAGATAGTCATGATAGCATATGGTTTAATCTCGGTGTAGCAAGCTGCCCTGACGCTTTTCGCCGCCAGGGACCGCGAGGGTCTGTCTGGTGTGGTCTTCCCGGCCACAATGACCGTCTAGCTCGGCGCGGCGGCCTCCTGCCAAGACTTTCCAACTCAGGGGTGTTACATTGTCTTTGCCATCGGCATTTCCATTGTCTGTGCATTGCATCTGCACTCTCGAAACGGCTCTCAAAAGCCGACTTCTTGAATCCCAGGCAAGCCACATTGGAAGTCGGCGCCCTAGCACGATTAAGCTCGAAGTCACCCCGTGGCTCGGAACGCACTGCCACACCCGCCGGTGCTCCACTGTTGAACCTCAACAGCCTTGCGGGACACACAGACTCACCGCTGGGGATTTATTTCTTTGGCCGGGCCGTAGCTATTGGCCGGGTTTTATCGCAAAGGGCGGCCCTTTTCCCGATTGTCTCTTCATCCCCTTTCGTCGAGTCCAGCCAGCTGAGAAGGCATCCCAGCCATGTTCTTTATCAGAATCCCCAAAACCCCCCTGCCGACGAACCATGGAACTCTAAACTCTCCGTAGCGATGTCTAACATACCTTCAAACAGGACTGGCTGATCTAGTGATTTGCATGTAAATTTTTACACACTGTGATGGACGCCTTTTGCCTACCTATGAAACCGGCGGTCATGCAGCTCAGACTGGGCTCATGGACATCTTCGCGGTACTAGAGAGTTATAAAGAATGAAGAGGCCCCGTCTTTTATCAGCGGCCGGCGTTAGAATGCAATCATGCGACCCCACGTACTAATTTCCCGACAGTGCACATCAAATGGCGATATCAATTCTGTTTCGCACTCAGAACCTCTTGCAATTCTGATGCAATCTTAGGTACCAAGATGTGAGATGACTTTCCCAGATATGAGAAATTTGTCCCTTCAACAGTGATTCTATATCCCAAGTAAACTTAAAGCAAGCTATAGGTATGGCTCACAGTCATGCACATCATGGTGGAGGTTGTGAATTTCATGATAATATGACACTATATTAGACCATGGAAGTTGATGAGATTAAGCGTAAGAAACAACAAAAAATGACTAGGGGTGATACTAAAGACAAAGCAAAGAACTCCTGTTCGGAGGCGTCCAGGTGAATAAATCTTTCGAATAAAGAAACATGGAACGCCAAAACCGAAGAAGCACGGGCCGACGAGATACACGCATCTGTCAAACCACATCCCGTTCTCCTTTCTCTTCAATAGAATTTTCTCTCGTGGCCTGCGTCAGCGCTACCCTGCCCACCTCCTATTTCGTAGTAAGGGCGTAGCAACTCCTTCGCATTGCACTGATCAAAGCTGGACAAAAAATGCAGCAACGATCTATAAATAGTTTGGGGCCGTGAATGTCATGGATCGCTTCGCTATCAATTGACCCCTTCCGGTCCTTCCCCACTACACACAACATTAGATGCCATACCTGGCTTAATAACCGTTCATGGTCATTCTGTGGGAGTTGCGGCTCAGTTCCCGATCAGCGGAAGGGCTGATAGGTCGGCTGCTGGCTCCACCGGGATGTGTGTTGCTTTCCTTGAGGGCCAGAAGCTGCTTGGCACGGAAAGTCTCGTAATGAGTCTGCGAGGTCGTCTCGATGAGGTCCTGGAGATGTGTGCGGAGGAGGAAGTTGCGGAGGTAGACGAATTCGCAGTGGTTCTCGTCCTCGACGTTGATCACACCCCATCGGTTCTGGCGACCGCGAACTTGCTTGCCATCGACAATGATGCTCTTCTCAGATCCGACAACGGCGAAGGGAACGTGGCTCTGCTAAAACATTAGTAATTGCGTCTCCGAATTAGGTGCGATCCCATTGACCTACCTTGATCTTCTCGTTTGTGGCTCGCTCCTCGTCGTCGAACTCATCGCTATCATAAGGGAACATCTTGAGGTTGTGGAAAGCGAACTCCTCCTTGATGCGCTCCTTGAACTCCAGACGCTCCTGAACAGTCAGGGTATCGGCCTTGGCGATGACGGGAACGACATTGACGACGTCGGAAAGCTTCTTCAATACGACAATATCGATGGGCTTGAGTGAGTGGCCGGAAGCCTGGATGAAGAAGAGGCAGCAGTGGATACGGGTGTCCTGGATGTACTTCTCTCGTTGCGCCGTGAGTTCCTTTCGCAAGTACGCGGAGTGCTGATCCTTGATATACTTGACAATAGGGTCCCAGCAACGATCGTTGTTGACGAGGTCTCCATAGCCAGGGGTATCGACAATGTTGAGCCTCAGGCGAACTCCGTTCTCCTCAATGATGTGGGAAACAGCCTGGATCTCGGTGGTCTGACGAATGGGCTCCTCGGGCTGCATGCGACCCTTGGAGTCGATGAGGTGAGAGGCGAAGATAGTGTTGATCAAGGTCGATTTACCGAGACCGGTCTGGCCTGGATATGGGAAACGAGATCAGCAGATTACTCAAAAGTGGTAAGAAGCTCCAACTGGGAATTCAATAGGAGCTCATAGGACGCGTCAAACATACCAACGCAGATGACATTGAACTGGAAACCGCGCTTCAAGAGCTTGCGCTCAATCTGGGAGGTAATGCTGTCGAACCCGACATGGCCATTGGGGTAAATAGTGGTAGGAGGAACAGTCGCCATCTTTGCAGGTAGTGGTGCGAAAGCTTGTGGCGGTGATGAGACGGGAAACGGGACTGGATCTTTTTCTATTCCAAGAAAAAATATGTGCGGAGGGAGTATCTCAGATCAAAGATACACGCTCGTATTCCTGCTTCTGCGGTGCCGTGGTGAGGGCAAGCTGTGGTCGAGGACTGAAGGATTGAATGGGGAGCAAGGTGACAGATTCCTTGGGCGCACCAAAGGAGAGGACGGGAAGTTTCCTGGCTGCCCAGCTGTCGCTCGCTATTGGTCTCCTACCTCCCTCCAGCAATAATTTCAATGCTGGGTGGCAGGTGCAGGGACCAAGAAAGGGGGAAAGGGAGGCCCAGGGGTTAGCTCGACCGTTGGGGCGTGGCTATTGGCCAGGACGGGTCCATCCGCCGGCGCCGCATGATTGGCTCGTTGGTGGGCTGCAGCTCAGAACATTTTTTGAGGCAGCGTCACACCAGAGGTCTGTCTATGCTTTGGAGCTTCAGGAAGAAGCCCTTCATTGACATCAATTAATTATACGACCACTTGGAAGCACAGCCCCTGGGCCGGATTCACCGCATACAGATCAGGACGACCCAGAATCTGTACCAGACCCCGGTCCCTGTACCGACGGAGAGCCGACCACGAACCCGAATCGCAAAACCTCGATATCATCTCTTCTCTCACCTCTCCGGCTCGTCCAAATGGCTGCCGCTCTACTCCCCCGACATGCACTTCCCACCATGTCCTCGGTGATTGGCTGGTCACTCTTTTCCAGCAGCCAGGCTGCTCCGCGCTTCCTGAACTCGCTCGCGATCGCAATACCAGGTCTCAGCATCAGCATTCCCGGACTGCTGCAAGATATCTGGGGAGGAATTCTGAAGGCTGTACCCAAAAACAAGACGTCCCACTCGCGAAAGAGGCACAGGCAGATGGCTGGAAAGGCATTGAAGGATGTGAATCACTTGTGCAAGTGCCCGGGATGTGGCGCCGTCAAGAGAACGCACCGCCTGTGTGAAAACTGCCTGCAAGGTAAGCAGAGCCTAGGAATACCTATCTGGATGCACGGCCACTAACAATTGCACAGAGATGAGAAGGATATGGCGCGAGGACTACCCCAACGACAAATCGATCTAGAGAATGGACCATGAGATGATGTTGTACTATATCATGATTGCCCCCTCTGTACTGAAACCTTGTACAAGTCTTGGGAGTATGCATGCAGCTGGCGTTAGGGGCTCAAAATCAATTTAATTGTAACAATATTGTCAAATATAAACGCATATACAACGCATCGTGCTCTTCTCGCTTGATTTCTGTGCTCTATTTTCTTGACGGATGAAAGAGTTGTGTGGCTACAGGCAATCGCTTGCTGTTGTTCGCCTTTCCGTACCTAATAGAAGTAAAAAAGACTAGATAAATTCGCAGTGGCTTAAGAACGAACGACTTTCTTATCCATCTAGAAAAATTAGTAGTCTCGAGAGAGTTGGGTGGTGTTGAGACACCAGAGTCGGTGCCGCTAAGTGGCAAGCATGAATAGGATCAACAATGAGGCTCCCGCACGCCCCGCTTCACCTCACAGTTTCCTCTCCCAAACAACCAAAGGATCAACCAAGACCGAGAGATGGGGGAATAAACCATGGTAAAGTAAACCACATCTGGAAATTCAGACGACCGTCTTACTAATTCCATCATTAGTCTAAACAATATCTCACCACGCATTCCGTGGATAATGGTGAGTCAACACTACCCCGCGGCATCATTCTGTGGCATCGCAACCACCAGTAAGCTGACGATTTCAGCACATATAACCGACATTTTCTCTATCGCGTCAACACCGCGTGCTGTGCTGTCTGTCAGCGGGTCGTCAACTATTCATATTCATGATACCACTGACCCCGCATTCCCTCTCAAGCAATCCATCTCAGATGCCCACAAGCTAGGCTGCCACCACATCTGTACCTCTCGAAATGGCCGCGTTGCAGCCAGCGCTGGCTTTGGTGGAGAAGTGAAGATATGGAATCTCACCCAGGAAACTGGCGAATGGTCTTCAGGAGGTGAAATTCAAGAATCATCAAATAAGCCTGGCGAAGTCTGGGCCTTGGCCCTTAGTGATGACGGCACATATCTTGCCACTACTACCTACGATGGGCGAGTCAACGTTTGGAACCTGTCGGGCGAGTCAAAGGCCAAGGTACAGGAGTACGAAACTGGAAGCCCAGGCTCTGGCAGCTTTGGATTGAGCGTTGATCTCAGCCGAGATGGGAAGTTTACTGCCAGTGGGCATCAAAACGGATCCGTCTATATTTTCAACAATGAGACAGGCCGGATTCTTTTCTCCCTTTCTGGTGAGTCTGTTAAGCAAACTGCTCCCCGACCAACCTTCTGTATTGACTAACCAATCTCTAGGTCTTGCCAAACCAGTGCGCTCAGTTGCCTTCTCGCCCGGCAATACCAGGCTTGCTGCGGCAGGTGATTCAGGAATCATCGCCCTTTACGATATGAAGCACGGAGAGCATGTGGCAAACCTGACAGGCCACACCTCATGGATTACCTCTGTGGACTGGAGTGACTCTGGCGAGTTCTTGCTCAGTGGATCGATGGATGGCAAGGTCAAAGTGTGGTCGATCGAACGAAGTGCATGCGTCGCTACTCATAGCGAAACAGACAAGGCACTCTGGACAGCGAAGTGGCTCCCGAAAACGGGCAAGAGCGAGATGTTCTGCACCGCAGGGGCCAACAGAAGCCTCTCGTTTTATCGCGAAGCCACAGGAGGCTAGATATTCCATTACCTACGCAGAGACGATAGACCTCAAAACTAGCACAGGCGACTACCTAGAAAATATAATACATGTAACGAACGTTTCGGCAGTCTCAGAGCCCCTGATGAACGGTGGTGCACCAGGCTGCTAGTTTGGTGATCACGTGATGCCGCTCCCGGCTCGCGTTGCCCAGCCAAACCTCCTTGTCGTCATGCCCCAGATGTCATCCACAACCAGGGGACCCCGTGAGTTACATCAACTTTGGCAACAGCGCTCTCGGTGTCCACCATCTAATCCAAGCACTTGGTCCTGATCGCTCAATTATTCATAGCAGCAATTCTTCAAATCAATCATCATGCCAACCACAAAAAGGTCAACGAGCAGCAATAGAGGCCGCACGGTGCCGATCAAAGGGCAATCCACCATCAGCTTCGCCAACAGGATCACCAAGAATGTAGTCAACGACACAAAGAAGGCCATCATCTCACCGCCCGTTGCAAAGATTGAGTCGCCGGGGAAGAGCAATGTAACTGAAAAGCCAATTGAGGATGTCCTGGCGGTTGAACCTGAACTTGAGGCCGAGGTTGAGGAGGAACCAGAGATTGAAGTCCCAGAAAAGTCCGAGGTCGAACTCAAGGCTGAGAAGATCACCAAGAAGCAGATTGAAGCTTACTGGAAGGGAATTGAGGCAAAACGCATCGCACCTAGAGTACATCAGAAAGATTTGAGCACCGATGAAAAGGTACTCCGGTATTTTGATGTGAGCTCACAGTATGGGGTAAGAAATGACAATAGATCATCAGTGGGAATTCCAAAGCTAACATATAGTCTAGCCTTGCATTGGCATTGCTCGCCGTAAGCGATGGGACCGTGCTGAGAGGCTGGGTCTGAATCCTCCCGTTGAGGTCTTAGCTGTGCTCGTCGGAGAGAGTCGAGATGGCGGTGACGTTATGACTGCCCAACTGGATGTGATCTTAAATCAAACTGCAGAATCATGAGCTCGTTTTCTTTTATCTGGGAATGATTGGGATGGAGTAACTGTTTGAATTTCTTTCTATTTATTTTGGCAGGTATTTGAAGTCCTATTTAGTCATTGGTCAATACCTACAAGGCGCAATTTCTCGAGAATACACGTTGTGGGATGACGCTCTATTTTTCTAGGTGTCTAGTTAATCTATTGCTGTTGACAGCATGAAGGTCGCCCTTCTCAATGCTCTTATCTAGTACCAAATGCTTCTAGTCCGATGATGCGGAATCGCCTCTTCCCCGGCTTCTTCCAACTCTTTCATCTTGTCATACAAAAAGAAGTCGATCAAAATAGCATTAATGTGTGCTTTCGGGTGGTTTCTCTTGATCTCTCTCCGGATCAGCTCAACACACCAGATGCTGCAGGCTATTATGATGTGAGAATTGATGAGCTCGTCACTGTATGGGATGGAATCAAACTTACCTCGTAACTGCATCTCCCACGAGCTCCCATTTAGTAGCATCTGCTTGTCTCGGATGGCTGCTGCAACAACTGGGCTGCAATACAGGGCGTTCATGGAGATGAGAACTTGAGGGATCCGATAGTCCGCGAACATGGTAATTTTATCAATGTCGTCAAAGTCTCCGTAGGACTTGCCATCAAAACAAGCCCATAGGTCAGCTACAAGGATCTGCGCGCGTTTGAGGAAACGAATCGGCTTCTCCCGGTCCTTGAACGGATGCTCGTCACGGAAACAGTCGAAATCCTTGGCGAGAATATTAACGAGACTTGCGGCAGAACCATCTGCTGCGTCAATCAGGTTGACGACTGATGAATCGTAATACTAGAGGGGTTGCGGTGAGTATAGAACCCATTAGACAACTGAGAATGGATTTGTGCATCTTCATACCTCTTCAAGAACTTGGGCAGCCTCTCTGAGACAGTCCAAACGTTCTTTGAGCAGCGGCATTTCCTCCTCGGTACACGAGCGGAATACATGCTGTAATGATTCCAGGTTGCAATTTTCCTCGTCTTGCCAGTACTGGGGGCTGGTGATCGGAATCCCTAGAAGCTCATGTTAGACAAATCCCGTGATGCGAGAGTAATTTGTTCATCTCAACGAACCCTCGTCTAAAGCTCTCTGAAGAGCGGCCACAAGGCTCCAATAACCTGTCCAGCGTTTTCCCTTGTATTCAATGGCGAACCTCTCTTTGTCAGGCAATTCAGACCAAAAGGAGAAGTTCAACAGGTCCATGGTGAAGATAAAGTTTACCGTTGTTTCATCCTTGGCTTTGGGATGAAGTTCATGCTCCGACCAGGTGCTTGTCGAGTAGTGCCTTTTCTGCATCTGGGTATAAATCTCTTCCGCGGCCTTCTTGCAATGTCGCATGTCAATGGCAATATCAATGCTGCTGTCGAAAACATACTCGCAATCTTCGAGAACGCCAGTCTCGGATTCTTGCTTTATGTCGAGTTTTCCCTGAAAATGCTGGCGCAAAAGCTCCACGAGCTCAGGGTCTGCCTCATCATCCGACATTTTGTCGAATCTTGTTTTCCCTGTCTGTTCCTCTCCCCTGCTTGTGTTGGAGGCTTTGGGCTATCTTTCACACCCCTTGTTGGACTGTACTGTCTGCCAGATGCTAGATTTTAGTGGGAAAAGTAAGCTTTTTCCTTGTCTTGGTTAGTCCAGCTGCAAATAAGCCAAAGGGGTGGCTTGGGGAATACCAGGTTGTCGGCTTGGTAGTTGAAACTTGGAAGAGTCACACAGGGGGAAAGAGATTTCTGAAAGTAATTTATTAGGATACGCTGTTTTGCGAGTCAGCACGTCCCTTCTCATAATTCATGTCTTCAACAATGGAGATTGGCTTGATTGGGCGCCACGATCATTTCCCAAGTCTTATTTCTTTCCTTATCTTTTTCTTTTTTTCAGCATGTCTCAATTCAAGTAACTGATTGCTACCGGTGCTTTCCAGGGGAGTGTCCTGGAATCCACATACGGGTCACGCAGGATACACCTGTAGGGTAGCATTCTTAATAAAATGGGGGAATCTTGGCTTGAGGGTTGCATCCATCCACTATTCCCTAACTAAAGAACTGAACATTGAGGAAAGAGAATAGGCAGACATTGCCATTTGAATCTTCGTTTGGTTCTGTTTTTCTTTGTCTTCGTCCATGTGGGACTGCCCCCTAAGCAAACATGTTTGTTTATCAGGCAAGGAACCTCAGTCAGCGCCCACAGCACCCAGCTTGGCGCATCACAGAAGGCTCCAGGACTGAACAGCAGCTGAGAAGCGCCCCCCATCAGTGCATGTTGGTGCCCCAGACCAAGTGCGGCGGCCAATCACCACGGGCTCATCTGGACGCTAATGCCCCCGGCGAAAGCCCCTGCTAGAGCCCGCCTTCCGTCATTGGCCAGGGCGCCGAAAGGTGGTACCTGAGCTCTTGCACCTCGTCGCAACTTCACCCAAGCAACAAACCATCCTCGCAAGAGCAGGCATAAATCAGCTGCTTCTCACCCGGCATTCCATCTCGTCATCACATGGTCGACCCACGAAAATATACTCCCAAACCCAAAGATAAAACCCCCGACTCGCTTGAAAGTTTATTTTGAGCGGCTATGACCGCGATGGAGGAGTCACCAAGCTCAGCTGCGCAAACCGCGCCTGTCACTGAGAATGGACCTTCCGATCCTTCCAAGCAACAACAGCCGGAGCAACAAGAGAATCACGAAAACCCGCAAAAACCGAATCCCAATGCCACCCCCAGTGCCCGATCACAGATTCCCCGGCGCGATAGATTCAACCATCAGTCTTTGGGGCCCTCGTTGAACTCTACCGTGAAGCAGGTACGTCACCAAGTGCTGCACTCCCCCTACCAACCAACAACCACCGGCGTAAATGCGCGCAAGCCTTGCCGAACAGATTGGGCCCGCCGATAAAACAACACCCAGAGAAAGGCAGAATGGTCGAAGCTGTTACTGACAACTAAAAAATTATAGGCGCGCGTGCTCATGGTTGGTGCTGGCGGAATTGGATGCGAACTTCTGAAAAACCTCGTCCTTAGCGGCTTTGGCGAAATCCACATCGTCGACCTAGATACAATCGATCTTTCGAACCTGAACCGACAGTTCTTGTTCAGGCAAGAGCATATAAAGAAGTCTAAGGCCTTGGTAAATCGAAACCTGCGCTTTTCCCTATGCGAGACTATGTTCTAACAATATATAGGTTGCCAAGGACGCAGCGCAAAAGTTCAACCCCAATGTTCAGATTGTCGCGCACCATGCGAATATCAAGGATGCGCAATTCACAGTCTCTTGGTTTCGGGATTTCAAATTAGTCTTCAACGCCCTGGACAATCTTGAAGCGAGAAGACATGTCAATAAAATGTGTCTGGCGGCGGATATTCCTTTAATTGAGAGTGGCACCACAGGATTCAATGGCCAGGTCCAAGTGATCAAGAAGGGCGTTACTGCCTGCTATGATTGCACACCAAAAGAAACGCCCAAGTCATTCCCTGTTTGTACGATTCGGAGTACCCCCAGCCAGCCCATCCATTGCATCGTATGGGGCAAAAGCTACCTACTGAAGTACGTGTTGAAGAGGAACTTGTTGTCATTCCGCCCCGGCTAATAGATTCCCAGTGAAATGTTTGGTACGAGTGAGGACCAATCGGTTCTCGACCACTCACAAGACCAAGAAAATGGCAAGTCTATGTTGATCTCTAGAGCGGGAAACCTTACAAGGACTAACTGATTTATAGCGCATGAAATTGAGGAACTCAAGAAAGAATCAGATGCTCTAAAGAAAATCCGCAATGCTGTTGGTGCGCCCGACTTCCCGAAATTACTATTCGAAAAGGTTTTTGATGCCGATATTGAGCGACTGCGCTCAGTCGAAGATATGTGGAAATCAAAGCGCGCCCCTGAGCCTCTTAGATACGAGAAGCTTCTGATTAAAACGAATGAGTTGGACGGGTCGAAGGATTCCATTCTTGCTGATGGCCAAAAAGTTTGGTCTCTAGAGGAAAACTTAGTCGTGTTCAAAGATAGCCTCGAGAGGCTAAGCAAACGTATCATTGAACTGAAGAAGACTAAAGATGCTGCCGCTCCGGACCCCGTCATTGTTTTCGACAAGGATGATGACGATACGCTTGACTTTGTAGCCTCAAGCGCTAATATACGGTCCACAATCTTTGGTATCGAACGGAAGTCTAGATTCGATATCAAACAGATGGCTGGAAATATCATCCCGGCAATTGCTACCACTAACGCCATCGTCGCTGGTCTATGTGTGTTGCAATCTTACAAAGTTCTCAAGGGAGATTATTCACAGGCAAAAGAGGTAACAGCGCCAAAACTATCCCAGATGAGGTCTCTCACTAACACTGGCTCAAGGTATTCCTCACTCCTTTTGGCTCTGCTAGACTGATGGCCCCTGATCGGGCTCGTGAGCCAAACGCTGACTGTCCTGTGTGTGGGGTGTTCAATGCTACCGTTACGGTTGATCCTGCACAGACGACGTTGAACGATATCGTGGAGGGCTTGCTAAGAACCCACTTGGGGTTCGGCGAAAAAGAGTTTGTTTTGAATAACGAGATCGGAGTTTTATATGACCCAGATGAGACAGAAAACCTACCGAAGAAGTTGGTAGATCTTGGTAAGAAATTCATTGGACCGTGCTTATCATTTGAAACTAACCAGACGTAGGCATCAAGGACGGTAGCTTCCTTACTGTGGTCGACGAAGATGACGAACACCCTCTGGTCAACGTTGTTCTCAATATAGAAGAAGGGTTTGTTTGATTTCCCAATCTCGCGCTTTAGCTTACGGAACTAACTGATTACAGTGCTCTATCCAACGATGCTATTAAATTCAAGTCGTCGACCGCTGCGCAACCTGCGATTCCCCAGAAACCGAAGAAAGCACCACAGGTAGAGGCAAATGGCCATTCCGCTGGCGAGTCTAACGGAATTGTTGAGATCGATTCCCAGTCAAAGGGTGTTAAACGGCAGCACACAGAAGATGGGGGCCAGCCCTTGAAGAAAGCCAAGACGGGAGGTGCTTCTTCAGACGATGTTGTTGTCATCGAAGATGCAGGTGGAGCCATCATTATTGGCGATGACTGAACCGCGTTGCCAATTCCTCTTCACGGCAGAATGCAACTTCTGTATTGGCGCTACGATGCGCTCAAGCCGCCGTCGAGATTCAGCACACAGTTGTTTGCAAACTGATTAGTTGCTAGGAACACTGCGGCATCAGCCACCTCCTCGGGGCTTGCTATCCGCTTCAGAGGAGTTGCCTGGAGGTATTCTTTCTTTACATCTGGTTTTAAGTCTACAAGGGTTTTTTGTACATTAGCACGTTTTTACGCAAAGGGTATGGCATTTCATGGAATATAGGGATCAAAGATGGGGTAAGGGGGCGTTTGTGGAACTATACTCACTGTTCCACATAGGGCTGTCGACCCATCCGGGGAGAAGGGCATTGACGCGAATAGAGCGCGCAGACATTTCGAGACATAAGGCTCTTGTAAAGCCTTGAGCCAAATCGTTAGCATTTGCTGTACCTTGCTTGGCTGGTTCATAGGAACCTCTGATAGTGAAAAGACGAATACACGTCAATGATGAAGAAACACACACTTACCTACAACACCTGCTTTAGAAGCAGCATATACTGTGGCTCCAACTGCTCCCTTCAAAGCCATGAGGCTTGATACATTGATTATACAACCTGTTCAGAAACTTGTAAGATTCCATCTGGCAGCGGGGGGGTTGCCAAGAGTGTTACCATTCGGCTGGACTTTGGCATGCTTGCATGCCAACATGGTAGCCAGCAAATTTGTGTCTAAAACACTACGAATCTCTTCATCTGGTGTCCTCTTGAATAGTGTGGTTTGTGATATGCCAGCGCAGTTAATCAGGATATCGACTGGTCCAACCGCCTGGTCCTACCGTAAACGAAATAAGCCGTCAATTCGAACCCGTCATAGCAAATCGATTGTCCGACCTACCTTGTTCTCCAGGCCGCGAAAAGTTGCTGCGACATTGTCGGGCTGGCGTACATCAAGCTTGATGTACCTGTGGCTGGTAGGTGCTTTGTTTGCCGTGCTGGTTGGTGGTTTGCGCAACTCCTTCTCAAACGACGGCTGGGCTTCTGGGATGGAGCGGCTGAGCAAGGTGAGGACTGCGCCATGACTCGCAAAAGCCTTTGCGATGCTGGTGCCAATGATGCCGGTGGCACCAACAATGGCACAATGCTTCCCTGCTAAAGACAGCGCCATGAAGCCGATCCGCAGGTCTGTTACTGGCTCACTGATACAAAGTTTGTGATTTATCGGTAGTCTGGACCAATAGCCCCGGCGAAAACAAATTGGTTCTACCGGATGCTTCGCAAAGGATGTTGAAGTTTGGGAGTCTGGGATCCTGAGCTGGCGTTACGTCGCAACACAAACTTTCTTCTTTGGAAGCCCCTAGGTGTTTTCAATTTTAGCCAAGTGGCCCCTGAATTGTTGTGATAGAGGTTGCTCCCAGTAGGGTACCTAGTAATAATAAATTAGTACATGTGTAGTGGCTGTCAAGGTGTTTGAGTTTGAGCAATGGGCTTTAGGTTTGTTGCGTCAGAAAGTGGTTGGACTATCGTAGTTTGTTTTGCTCTACCCTATAGAGCTCGGGGAACCCAAACGGTAAAACACGACCATGCAATAGTGCTGGGCACGCGTTATCTCAAATTTCACGTACGAGAAGACCAGTTGATGTACAATTTAGCAATGTATAGACCTATCGCCCTCCAAGGGTCCCTTATCTACATGTGCACTTCTGGGGGTGCTGTCTTTGGCACAGAAGGAAGCTACACTGGGCTTCAGCGTACCTGAAATGTAGAAAACTAGTGGGTAGGTGTTAGGTAGTAAGGCTAATGGTATCACAGAGACTCAGTAAATAATCTAGGAGTCAGAGTGACGAGAAAAGAAGCCAAGGATGACAGCAATCAGTTTGCCGTTGACCTGAGATTGCACATCATAGACCTTTTGTTGAGATGTCAGTGGGGTGACCACACATGCTTGGGATCCTTCCTACCTTGGTAGTTCCTCCACCAAAAGTGCCCTCCCCTCCACCATTGCACAAGCTAAAACACCACCACTCACCCACCCACCCACCTGTCTGTGGTAGACGCTGTCGCCTGCATACACAGCTTTGGCTTCGGACGGGCTTTTAATGTTCCAAGGAACTCAGAAATCTCTTCCGATACCCATTTTCGCATCTCGACCGCAGCGGCACCAACACCTTTCGCATTCCCGACCTCTTACGTCTGGCAAGGTGGCTCAATGCCGGCTTTCTGTCGCCGATTGAGTCCCGCGTCCTAGGTACACACACCAAAGACGGCTGCTTCTCCTATCGGTTACACACAACCACGCCGTCGCCATGGCCGATACTGCGAAAACCCAGTCCAATGCTTCGCCACCGAACGATGTCCCGGATGCGGGACTGAGGAGCCATGACCACTGTATGCGCCTGAATACGTATTCTGCTACACAGTTCCATCTGATCTGATGTGATGTTACAGACAAGAGGGCGCTTCCCAAATGGCGGTACTCCTTGCGACAGCAGATGCTCCCTTTGATACGCTGGGAGACCCCGTACCTTGCTTGGATGCAGGACAAGCTGCGCACGCCGGCGCTCGACAGCTATTTCGCCATCACTGCGAACCTGGGTACACACACCTTCTTCATGATTGGTCTGCCGATTCTGTTCTGGTGTGGTTACCCAGCTTTTGGCAAAGGGTAAGTTGCATCCTCGACTGCCAGCTCGTGTGGCTACCACCGAAACTTGCACCCCGTCGGCGGGAGAAAGAACAGGATCCTCATTCTCGGTGAGGAGACCAAGGCTAATCGCAAACGATGATACGTAGACTGGTGCATATCCTTGCGCTCGGCGTCTTTTGGACGGGCTTCCTCAAAGACTTCCTCTCGCTGCCTCGGCCTCTGTCACCACCCCTCCATCGCATCACAATGTCTGGTTCTGCGGCTCTGGAATACGGTTTCCCTTCGACGCATAGTACCAATGCTGTATCCGTTGTGGTATATGGCGTGCTACTCCTACGAAGCCCCGAAAATACACTTCACCCCACCACGAAGATTGTCCTGGAGCTCCTGTCCTACTTCTACGCTGTTTCGATTGTATTCGGCCGTTTGTACTGTGGCATGCACGGATTCCTGGATGTGATTATTGGGTCACTCATGGGTGTGGCGATCTCCTTGGTTGAATTCTACTATGGCCCTGGATTGGATGAATACATGTACACAAGCTCATGGGCTGCCCCCTTCGTTGCTGCAATCATCATTCTCGTCATGGTACGAATCCACCCAGAACCTGCTGATGACTGTCCTTGCTTCGATGACAGTGTCTCGTTTGCTGGCGTTTTAATTGGGCTCGAATTCGGCACTTGGACGTATGGCCGCATCCCTGGAGACCCGTGGGAGACACATGCCCATGCTGACAACACTGTTAATGTTGCTCCTCTTGGCTTGGTCATTAATGTTGCTCGGATCGTGCTCGGTGTGCTGATTGTCTTTGCCTGGCGAGAGACCATGAAGCCGACATTGCTTAAGACGCTCCCTCACTTCTACCGAGCCATTGAGAGTACGGGCTGGACGCTGCCTCGACGATTCTTCACCCCTGCGAGCAAGTACAAGTCAGTGCCCACAGGCTCGAGGATTGACACGCTGTTCCCTTCCCCATATGATATTCCTCGGATGGTGGAGAGTATCCGCCACCCGACGACAAGGGGACGGTCGGTGTCGATTGGGCCCCAGAGTGCGGCTGATGCGTACGAGACGCTGGCATATAGAGAGCGTCGACGTCGGGAGAGCATAAGCAGCAATGCCAGCTTGCGCAACAAGTCGAGCATTACCGACCTGGGGTCCAAGAACGAGGATGGAAAAGCCGCACACGCGTCTGGTACACATCACTCTTCCATTCGCGACTATGAGAGAATGATGGGTGAATTGGACTCACCCTTTTCTCCCATCTCACCCACCTCACCAACGTCCCCGGCGTTGCCTACCTCACCTACGTCCCCAACTGTGCTTGAGGAGAATGAGAATGAAATTGACGAGAACTTGGTGTTTTCTCGCATTGTAAGGCCCCGTGTGAGGTACGATGTGGAAGTTGTTACTAAGCTGGTTGTTTATGCTGGTATGTTTGCTCTCAGTTTTCTCCTCCCCTTTTGATCTTCGGACCTCCTTGTTCTGCTCCCACGTCTCCACGAGTGGTAGATGTGCAACATGTGATGTGATTTAAAAGAATGTAAATTAGCTAACCCGGCGGGATAGGTATTGCATGGTTCGCTGTTGCTTTGAACCCAATCATTTTTGAGCTTGTTGGCCTGGGCACAAACCACCTACAACAGGTGAATTGAAGAGGCATAATCGTCACAGGCTCTGGTAAATACGCACGTCCTCATTAGAATTTCATGCTGTACATATTTGTAGGGTTGGCGAGGCGTTTTTAAAGTGAGATGATGGCATAAGTACATGATCATGGATAGATTTGATGGCGATAGTGCTTTTTCATTTGATGAAGCATTTGCTGATATTATCGGTCGATTGGATAATGATGGACTGGGATCACAATTACATTTTTTTTTTTATTCGATTGTGGTTACGAAGTAATGAAGTGGCTTTTTATTCACGTCTCTCAAATTGGTGACTTAAAGGTAGCACTTGGGCTAAAGCCATTGACAAGATGATTTGACACATAAATCAGCAGAAAATAGAGATTATACGAAATATGCCTATTATGAGTGATACTTATTGACAAACCAAAGCATGCTATACCCATCACCTTGATATTAGAGTACCAAGTTGCGGTTTGAGTGCTTCACTTTTTATGTCACCGGCTTAGCTCCATTTAAGCCAGGGCGGTGACAGGGGTTTAAATGGGCAAGACACGGCGAGACGCGTTGGGGCGCGTTGCCTGCTAGCACAGAAATGGAGCTTTGGTGACCTCAGCAGAACTGAAGCATCAAGCATTGCATAACGTGTAAAGCTCCGGAATCACCTTGGTCTTCCCTGCTGCAAGGTCTACCAAACCGAGAAAAAGAGTCGCCTGGAGATCTTCATTGGCTATTG